CCCTTCTCTTTTGCCCAACCATCTCTTTTAAATCTTACCAGTGACCTTATGGTGAAAAGCAAAGGACACAATGAGTTCTAAAAGGCTGACAAATGCATGCTTTTCTGAAGCTCAAGTAAAATTATGCTTCTACAGCCCAAAGACACTCCAGCTCCCTGTGGTTCAGGGCTTCACAGACACACATTCTCAGAAACTTAGTCCATTTTTAAAAAGCAATTAAAAATATTTTTAAAATTTGTTCTCCTCATTTCTGTCCTCCCCATCAAAAACTTTTTTAGAGCTTTTCTAATATAAATCTTATCACTTCTCCTGCTGCTTCTGCTCTCTTGTGCTCAGATTTATAAAAGAAGGCCCAGCATGGAAGGGAGGCAGAGGAAATCGTCTAGTGGCCAAGGCCCAAGTGTTCCTTTTTTGGGCAGATAGAGTGTCCCTATAAAACCTGGCTGGCAGGTCTGAGTCTAAGAAAAGAGATACATATAGGGAAATGAATACAAATATTTAAGTTACATAGTTCCCATGATATAACTTTTAGATGAGATTTATATTTAAACTGTAGCAATTCTATTTCCCAGAAAGTGTGGCTTTTAAAATGAAAGCCCAGATGAGTTTGATCAAAGGCGTTTTCAACAGAGCAAGGTTTGACATTTCTCATCCCACACAGAGAAAATGAATAGTGTAGTCTTCATTCGTGGAAACCACGATTTCCGGCACTTGCTCCTTTGGAGTCTTACCATCTCATTGCAATAGCGCACAGCCTCCTCCATGCATCTGAGGAGAGGAGAAAACCTCTTTCCCTGACACACCCAAAGGGGCAAGAAAAAAGTACTATCAACACCTCACCTGCTGGAGGAGAAGCCAGCTGCCTCCCAGGGCTCTGTAAGAAATACTGGCTAAAAAAAAATTTTTTTTAATAAATTTAATTTCCTTTGAAGTGGCTATTTGATCTCATTTCATACATTGAAATAATTCCTGAGAAGATGATGTCTGCCACCTCTCATTCCTAGCTCTCCAAACCTCCCTCTCAGCCTCTTCCTATACACTCTGGTTATTGTAAACAGCTTACACTCCCTAAACCAGGGAGTAGCAACCTGCGTGCCACAAATGTATTGCATTGCCCCAGGGTGCCTTGCAAAAGTTACATTTGTCTCAAGAGTTATCACTTGCTAAAAGTTGGGAAGCACTGTCCTTTACATATTGTTTCTGGACTCAGCTGCCCTAGAAATGTGGAAAACCTTTTATCTGTGTAATTTATACCCATTCTTTCAGATTCAGCTCTGGGTATCTGACTTCTTCCTCCAGGAAGCCTTCCCTAAGCTGACCTAACCCCCAATTTGGTGTAGGTTAGGTACTTCTCTACACTCTGAAATACCCTCTGCACCTAGATTCCATATCCACAGTGTAGTGTTATACATAGCCACTAAGAAGTAGTTCCCCCACTATGTCCTGCTTTGAGGGCAAAGTCCTCATAACTGTTGTTATTCTACCCTTAAATGAAGTTAGTCCGAATTTTTCAGTAAGTTCTGTTAACCACCTCTATCTAGGGCAAGTCTCTTTACCCTTCAAGGCCCCACTAAGATTAACCTTGGTGATAACCCCCCTGCCCGATCTCAGCTCCAGCAAAAGTGCTTTGTGTGGACTTCCCTGGTGGCGCGGTGGTTAAGAATCCACCTGCCAATGCAGGGGACACAGGTTCGAGCCCTGGTCCGGGAAGATTCCACATGCCTCAGAGTAACTAAGCCCTAGTGCGTCACAACTACTGAGCCTGCGCTCTAGAGCCCCCAAGCCACAACTACTGAAGCCTGGGCACCTAGAGCCCGTGCTCCAGAACAAGAGAAGCCACCACAATGAGAAGCCCACGCACTGCAACAAAGAGTAGCCCCTGCTCGCCACAACTAGAGAAAGCCGGCACGCAGCAACGAAGACCCAACACAGCCAAAAATTAATTAATTAATTTTTTTTTAAAGAGTGCTTTGTGCATGCTCCATCATAGCCCTGCCTGCACCATGTTCTGGTCTGACGTACCCATCTTTTCCGTCTCACTAGACTGCAACCTTATTGGCACTAGGACTACGTCTGATTTGTATATTTGTATGTCCAATACTAGTATTGCCTGAACAGAGACATTCTCTGCTCCCTCAATGAATACCCTGTCTCCCAAGAACAACCATAATTCTAGCTAAATTGTCAGAGTAAAGACATGTCAACATTTTTACTTCCTTTATAGACCCTAAAATAAAAATTTAAAAAAAGCTTTTGGCTCCATGCTGTAAACCAGTGGTTCTTGACCTTAGGATGCATCAATGTCACCTGCAGAACTTGTCAAAACGGATTGCTGGGCCCCATGCCCAGAGATTTTAGTTCATTGGTCTTGGATGGGGCCCAAGAATTTGCCTTTCTAACAAGCCTCCAGGTGATGCTGATTTTGCAAGTCCACGATTTAGATTTTGAGTAATCCTGTGCAAAATCCAAGCCATCAGATAACCCAAGCAGATCTCTGCCAGGTCTTACCTAACACAAACCTCTGATCCTGGACTGAATGAATAATCTTAAAGAGAAATGTACCATATAGTGCTTAAATGTTCTGGGCCAAAAGGAAAAAGCTCTCATTGTTTTGCATCTAGCATTTTTATCAGTTTTTGTTGCTGGCATTTTTATAAGATGGTCCTAAGGGAAGTAACAGTCAGTAAATACCTACCATGAGAGACAGCCGATATTGAGGTTAAGGACACAGTCCTGGAGCCAGACTCCCTGCTACCAAATCCTGGCTCAATCTCTGTGCTTCAGCCTACTCTTCTGTAGATTAGGAATAATGACAGCTCTCCCTTTTGTGGTTGCTGTGAAGCTTCAATGAATCGACAGATGTAACGTGCTTAGCACAGTATCTGGCATATAGTAAATTCTCCAAAAGCATTAGTTTTCATCACTGTTAGTACTCTTAAACATTACTGTGTTTACACACAATATCAATTTAATCTTCACTACAGCTTGCCTAAGTTCATACAATTAAAAAGAGCTAAAACTGGGATAGAAATCAAGGTTTGATTCCAAAATTCATGTTTCTCTTTCTATTCATTCATATACTTGAAAGGTTATTAGAAGGCAATTTCCTGAGTCCCATCTGACAGCCCAGATTCTTATCCCAGTCCATGGTGGACCCAGAAATCTGCATTTTAAACTAGCATCTCAGTTTCTAAACTCTAAATCTGATGCTAGTGGTCTAGGGATCTTTTCCATATACTGCCTTGCAGTATGGACATGAGGATTAGTGAGAACAAGTATAGGACTGGGCTTTAGAAACTAAGTACTAAGCAAATGTCTGTTACTATGAAAATAAATTGTTTTTCTTCAAATGTTAAAGCTATATCAAAATAAGAAAAAAATGTGTTAGAACACAGTTGAAAACTAAAAGCTGTTGCTCTAATTTGACCAGGTAAATGAAATCTAAAAATTCTCTGGAACAAAATGATTTAACAAAGATTGAAAACTCTGTTTCTGGAGTCAGTATGGTTCCCAGTTCTACTTCTTATTACCAATGTGAGCTCAGGCAACTTATTTCACCCCTCTGAACTTCAATTTGCTCATTTGTAAATAAAAATACCTACCTCATAGGACTGTTGCAAATACTAAATGAAATAATGCATGTAAAGTACTTAGCACTGTGTCTGGAATAGAATATATACTCAGTAAGTTGTGTCATGATTATTCTTATTAATGTCGACAGTTACAGGAGTTGCACAGAAAAAGGATTATTTGACAACACCACAGCTATAACCACTGGCATAAAATGGTTTTTTAAATAGGGAGCTTAACGGTATTTTACAAATTTTAAAGAATATTTAGGAAATTTGAGTGCTCACCATCATCCCTAACCTATGTGTGTAAATTTCAGCATCACCATATCTTTATAATATTTGGAGAAATGTGAGAGTGTGTCCACTAAAGATTCCCTTCCCGAAAGAGTTCTTCGTGGTCCCCAGAGCCTGAGGAAGAAACGGACGCTGGCACTTGCTCAGTAATTGCAGAGAAATGAGAAATCTTCTCAGAAAGTTTTTCCACTCACTGTGGAGTTCTCCTCATTAAACAGCCCCTTCCCAAGATCACCATCACAAACTCATACATTCTAAAATGCTTCATAGACCTTTGGAAACAGCCTGCAGCCCACCCACCTCCAGTGTCTGTCTTGGGATACAGGGAAAGAACAGGAATAAGCAAGATAACTCATTGCACCTGTTTGGTTAACACTGCCCGTAAGCAAATTCTGAACCCGTGAGTGTATGTGTGTATGTTTCTTTGGAAAACAGAAATGTGGAGGTTAAAATTAATTCTAAATGCTTCAAAAGCATGAGTTGAAGTCACCTAAACACTATACTGCTGCTGGCATGTCATCAACATGATTTGGCTTGAAATAATTCTTAGAAAACACTCCACTGCAGAAAGAACAGAAATGCACTATCTCCAAAGAAAAGACAAGGAATTGCTTTGTGAGATTACTCCATTTGTCAAGTGAGTGAGTTGGGCTGCTCACTGGGTACGAAGGCCACTGTCAGCCCTAGTCTAGAATTCTAAGATTCTATGTATTCATATAGATGCACACACACATATGTATACATAGACATATGTAAAACATAAATTTTAATTGGTTCCAAGCATATGATAAATAGTGTAATACTATTTAAAACTCACCAGAACAGATGAACTGGTTTGCAAGGCAGAAATGGAGACAACAGATGTAGAGAACAAACGTATGGACCCCAAGGGGGGAAAGCGGGGGTGGGGGGGATGAATTGGGAGATTGGGAGTACCATATATACACTAATATGTATAAAATAAATAACTAATAAGGGCCTGATGTATATAAATAAATAAATAAATAAAATTCAAATTTAATTAATTAATTAAAATAAAACTCACCAGGGGCTTCCCTGGTGGCACAGTGGTTGGGAGTCCGCCTGCCGATGCGGGGGACAAGGGTTCGTGCCCCGGTCCAGGAAGATCCCACATGCCGCGAAGTGGCTGGGCCCGTGAGCCATGGCCACTGAGCCTGCGCGTCCAGAGCCTGTGCTCTGCAACGGGAGAGGCCACAACAGTGAGAGGCCCCCATACCGCAAATAAATGAATGAATGAATGAATGAATGAATGAATGAATAAATGAATAAATAAATAAATAAATAAATAAAACTCACCAGAATTCTCCATCCTTAGCATTAAGCTTATGATAAACACAGAAATTTCCTACCAAATGGAAAAAGGAAGTTTTTCAAAAGTAAAACCACGCCCAAGGAGCATCACAGGATTTTGTTAGGTTAAATGTTAGATTAAAATCCTGCTAGTAGGGACTTCCCTCGTGGAGCAGTGGTTAAGAATCCGCCTACCAGTGCAGGGGACACGGGTTCGAGCCCTGGTCGGGGCAAATCCCACATGCCGTGGAGGAACTAAGCCCATGCACCACAACTACTGAGCCTACTCTCTAGAGCCCATGAGCCACAGCTACTGAGCCTGAGTGCCACAACTACTGAAGCCCGTGTGCCTAGAGCCCGTGCTCTGCAGCAAGAGAAGCCACCCAATGAGAAGCCCGGGAACTGTAACAAAGAGTAGCCCCCCGCTCTCTGCAACTAGAGAAAAGCCCGTACACAGCAACAAAGACCCAAGGCAGCCAAAAATATAAATAAATAAATAAATTTTTTTAAAAAATCCTTTAAATGCTGCCATAGTGAAACTTGGAAAATGTTACTCGATTTTCAATTAAATTTAATACGCCATGTGATTTATTTACTTAATTTTATATATAGATTTTGTTGTGTTTTTTTTTGCTGTTTGTTTTTAAGGAAATGTCCCTCACCTGAAATCACACACAATGTAAAATTGGAAGTGTCAATGGAACAAAAAGAGGAGGAAGGCTCCAAGTCTTTTTTCCAAAAAGGCAAGGAAAAACCATTAATCCTTCAATCTCAGGTTATCATAAATTCGTAAAGCCCCCTCCTCTTCCTCCTAGGCCGACAAACCCAATCCCACCCTCTGTCTCCATTCGGTATGTAAAAGCATTTTTTCTTTTTAGCCAATGAGAGGGGCTGGGTAAGTGCCTGGGTGGAGGTCAGGTCTCTCTGGCACCGCTCAGCCTGAGGCCGGGAAGCTTCTCCCTCCTTCTTCCCCTTCACTGATCCGTAACATCAGAAGAAGGGTCTGCCCAGAGTAACTTGCACCCGGGCGGAACAGGCACGTTAAGGCTCCGAAAGGGCAGGAAAAGAGAAGCGCTCTAACTGGAGCACTGGAGACCTTGTTTTGCCCTCAAGAAGCGAAAACTGCCAGGCCTAATTCCTGTGGTTTCCAGGTGTCGTGGGTTTCCAAGCTCACAGAACATCGTCCTCTTTATAGTGGTTTGCAGACAGTCCCTGGCTGGTGCAGGTCAGTTTCCCGGTTCACAGCGCTTCCTGTCTAAGGAAAGGTTTAGGACCCGCACCAGCCAAGAGACTTCCAATTAGCCCCCTGAAGTTTCCGTGCTCTGTGGTCATCAACTGTGTCAACCACTCCCCTGCCCAACCTAGCTCCCTCTTAATGGGGTGTGAGAGGAGGAGCTAGACAATAATGTTACTACTATTTTCATTTTTTAATTAACCCAGGAGAAATACAAAATAAAGTAAACCTTTTGCGGGTGGGGAGTGGAATGAATTCCCAAGGCATATTATCGTGACCTTTTTTTCAGTGATCTGCACCGAGGTTCTGACCTCTACAGATGCCTAAGCATTTGCTGCCAGAGATATTTCTTCTGGGAAAAAAAGGAAGGAAGGAAAGAAGGAAGAAAGGAACCTACAAAACAAATACAAGTTAGCTGTAGTCTCTCTTAGCAGATGAATAGCACAGATATCTTTGTTTATATTTTTGCACATTTTCCCATGAAACCTCTCATAGCCCTCTCTGCCCACCCCCTCACCCACTTCTCAGCAAACAAAACATTTCAGCAAGGATGTGAGAAAGAACAGTCATTTCTTAATGTGGGAAACCGGTTTTATTTATGAACATGCGCAGTTCATTGTTGCCCTGGGGGATGCTTGTGTCTGAACTGTTTAATGAGAGCGAACCAGGTCTTTGGGCAGGACTGACTTGGAAGCAAATAAAACTTGAGCTCTGTGTGTACACAGGAGAGAATGTTAAAGAAAACATGTACTATTGTGGATTTGGGACCTTCCTTTCAATTCTGATTATCCACACCTTGTATTTTCTGGAATGTTTGATACATTGGTGGTCTGCACTTGCAAGATTAAATGTTATTAAATGTTAGCACTGGAAGGGACCCAAGAAGGTCATCCATTGAGTCAATCTTCTCATCTTTGCAGGGAACAGAGACCCTGAGATGTTGTGACTTGGAACTAAATTCAAAAGATATAAACAACCCTTGAAGACAGGGGAAGCCTGGAAGGCAACGTTCAGGTCTAACCAGCAAGTAGCAGGACCCCCATGTAAAATCCTCTAGGCAGCCATCCTTCCACAGGGATGAGGTTACCCAAGAGGCCTAAGTCTGCATAAAGCACTGCACTTGGGAGTCCTTCCCTCATCCTTTCTTCTTCCCTGCTTCCTGAACCCTAGCCCTTCGGTTTTCTAATGAGTCCTGTCTGGGTGAGAGTAGAGGACTAAAGGAACAGGATACAGGCTGTCTCATATGCACCAAATGCACAATGTCCACTTCGGCTAAACCCTCTTAAATTGCAAGAGGTAGCAAGCTTTATTTGAGTGTTAATAACATATGTGGCCCTGGTAAGAAGAGAGGATATGAGAAAGAGGAATGGCGCTCAAATCAAAGCAAAAGCCAGCTGCTCCTTCCTATCTCTCTGTAAGCATAAACCAGCACATAAGTAGTCTCTGTTTGGAGGCACAAGGGGAAGTCAGGGAGAAAACACAAAAGGGGAGGCCTCTCAGATGGAGTTCTATTTATTTTAATTAAATTTATTTATTTATTTTTGGCTGCGTTGGGTCTTCGTTGCAGTGCGCGGGCTTGTCATTGAGGTGGCTTCTCTTGTTGCGGCGCATGGGCTCTAGGCGCATAGGCTTCAGTAGTTGTGGCACGTGGGCTCAGTAGTTGTGACTCACGGGCTCTAGAACACAGGCTCAGTAGTTGTGGTGCACGGGCTTAGTTGCTCTACGGCATGTGGGATCTTTCCGGCCCAGGTCTCAAACCCGTGTCCCCTGCATTGGCAGGCGGATTCTTAACCACTGCGCCACCAGGGAAGCCCTATTTATTTTTTTTTTACAAGGGTTAAAGGGCTTCTTTTGAAAGGCAAGCCTGGAATTTAAACCACTACCCCAAATAAGACATGACATTATCTGCAGACATCGCCTAATCCTCCATTGTGAAATTAACATTCATCTAAAAGAAGAGAGTTTCCTCTTTAAAGAACCAACCTTTAAAAAAATGTTTAAAATTTAGATGATTTTAGTTTCACCAATGAGAAAAATTAGAACTTGTTGGGGGAAAAAAAAAAGTTTGTTTCAACAGATTTTTTGGTCTTCTCTGCTAAGATTTTTGGTTCAGAAATTTGGACTCCTGCTGCATTAGAAATCTTTGGCTTTTGAGACGCCAAACAATGTTTACCAGATTTGGAGCTGGGAGTGACGTTTCTTCTCAAATGAGGCTACGGTTTCTCAGCCTACAACATCCCAGTTTCCAGCACAGGCTGTCTGATTCTTCATGTTTTCCCAATGAAGCTGGCTATGTAAGGCACAGTTTAAAGGACAATACTCTTATAGTTTGTACTACCTCAAACTGATGATTATATTTCATTTAGAAATGTAATTCATTTATTCACTTCTTAAAATCTTTGAGTGTGCTGATGGGCAAAGTAGAAATGAGTCAAATTTCCTTGTACATCACATCAGTTCTCTGTTAATTTACGCTCTGAAAAAATTAAGAATAATAAACTTTCATCTAAGCACCCTCAAATGTTACATCGTAGGGCAATTACAAAGCAGAGGGATTAATCAATCATGTGAATCAGATGCAAAGATTACAAAAAGTTCAAAATGAATAATGTTCTATTCTGGAAGAAAACCTGTTTCTTTTGAGCATCACAGCCATGAAGTGGTACATTTCTGATTTAGTTAATAAGAGCCCAATTATATTTGAAATGTAGATTAATTCTCCTAAAAGCATTAATCAATTTGGCAAGGACACCTCAATAATAATGCGGTCTCTTTATTGCTTCCATAGTAAGATTTTGCCCCCATAACCGTAATCAGCTTATTGATACAAATACCTCTTTCCTTCAGTTGATTCAAATAGAACATTTCATAGGTGCTTTCAGCTGATGGGATGGTAAATAATTTTTAGACTAAAAGTTGAAGTGGATTGATTAGAAGCAATTTTTTCTGTTTTCCACAATAAAAAGATGAACTACATGGTTCGCCAAGCCAATTTGTAGAGCAACCTCTCCTCTCTAATTGCTGCCACACTAATGTAGTAGAAGCCGAGCGCTAGGAAGTAGATAAATCCATTTACCCAGCCATGACATTTAAGTAGCAAACACAAGTACTGGATTTTTCCATTACCCTTCATTTCAGCCTTGCTACGTTCCACCTGTGACCCTTATGCGATGAGGGCAATGTGCTTTCATACAATTTGGTGAGTATAAGAAAGGTCCACTTCAAAATGTTTGAGAGCAGACTAAAATCATTTTTTAGAAAAGCATAATTAAGTCCATAACCAACCTCACTAATTTCTGATAATGTATTGCAAAACCAAATTATTTGATAAACACTCTAATAAATGTACATCATGCCTGAGGGGGGAAATTGCATATTTTCTCTGTCACAGATAACACAGTCTTTGTCACCAATAATCCCAAACTTGAATAGTGCTTTTATTTCATATAAGACTTTATTTCAACAACAGGAAGCAGGCAAGTTCTCCAAAAACACCCTGTGTTCCTTTGTTGTATATCTTACCACAGAGAAATGGGAACGCATCTTCAAATAGATTCCATGTTGAAATGCGTATCAAAGAAAAAACTCTGTATCTTTATTTTTCACAACTCTCCTAAGACATTTTAGTCTCAGCCAAAGTTTCTTTAGGTAA